AATGACAGCGTGGGACAACGCTCAGGCGCAGCCAGTGAAGGCGCCGCTCACTCGATGCCGGGCATGGAGAGGAACAGGACTGCACCAAGCCCACGGGAGCCCCGCGAATCCCGTCGACACGTGGAATTTGCGGCGATAAGTGGCGAATACGCCGTCACGGCACCAATGCCACTCAAGCCGCAACGTCCGCCCTGTTTCGACCCAAGCCAGCGTGGGGGTCCGACGGTTCAGTCGTGGGTCTTCACGATGAACGTCTTCTTCGACGCCAATTACATCGAGTCGGACGCAGCAAAGATTCGCTATGCTGTTTCGCTGCTGAGGGGCCCCGCCATGGACTGGTGGCGAGTCATCGTGACGTCGCCACGCGCCTATGAGCCACCATAGCACGAAGACGGGCCCACGGGCCCAGCCGTCACCTGGAGTTCATTCTGCGAGACAGCCCAGTACAGCACGTGGGATGCGTGGTGCGCAGGGCTTCGGGCGCGTTTCGAGCCGATCGCGGCTTCGATCTCGGCGCGTCAGAAGCTGCGCACTTGGCGGCAGCTCGGGTCGGTTCAAGATTACACTAGCGGCTTTCTCGCACTATGCGAACAAGTCGGCTATATGCACGAGGCGGAGCGGGTGGACCGTTACGTCGGAGGGCTAAAGCCGGACATATCGCACGAAATTATGCTACGCGGGCTCTCGAATTTCAACGAGATCCTCGCGCTCGCCGAGAAAATCGACATCCTACGACGACCGAGGCCGGGGTTCTACTACGGACAACGCCCTCGGGGGCCGACCGAGCACGCCACCGTACACGCCGTTGCGACGAATGCAGCTGCCGCGCCGTTTAAGGGGCGCTGCTTTGCTTGCAATAGGCCGGGCCATCGCAAGAGTGAACGCCCAGAGGAGCTAAGGCGCCGTGGAACAGAGCAGGGGCGAGAGTCTCAGAGGCCGGGAAACGCCAGCAGTCAGTAGAAGTTGGGTCAACTACTGGCGAGACTGCCTGCTCGCCCAACTTCACCGACCCTCACCGAGTCACAGTACCGATTCACGCTATCGATCGGGCTCGGACGAATAAGGAGGGTACAGCGACGGATTGCCCAGTACTGATTCACGGGAAAATGCAGGGAGCAGCAGTGAAGATTTTTATAGACGGAGGTGCAAGTCACAGCTTAGTTAATACCGCGACTGCAAGGAAGCTGCAACTGACACTTAGTCGGTGCTTACCGGAGATCGATGCACGCTTAGTTGACGGAACGCCGCTGGCCATACGGGAGAAAGTGGAAAGGGTAAAAGTCCGCTGAGGAGGGAATTTCGGTTTTACACAGGAAATGCTTGCGACGACGTTGGATGGGCACGACATTTTACTGGGACGTGATTGGCTGCGACGATACAACCCGCGAATCGACTGGACGACAGGCAGCTGCACTGTGCGAAACAGCGGTAACTGGGTGGAGCTACCTCGCTGGCAGTCGCCTGAGTCTTCAACGGTCCACGTTAACGCCATCACGATGAAACGGGCTGTCGCTGCTGGAGCTGATGTGTACGCAGTGGATATCGCGATTGTGGAAGAAGCAGACAAACCGAGTGATTTTCAGAAACTACTAGCGGCAGTACCATCGGAACCACAGGAACTGTTAAAATTCCCGGGAATCTTCCCTGACGACTTACCCGAGGGACTGCCACCTCAGCGGGCACACGATCACTGAATAGAATTAGAGCCCGGGGCACAGCCAACCGTACAGCGACAGTTCCGACTGACACAACCCGAGCTCGATGAGCTAAGGAAGCAGTTAGATTACCTATTAGAGAAGCAGTTCATCCGACCGAGCTCATCGCCATTCGCCGCACCGATACTGTTCACACCGAAAAAGGACGGCGGATTTCGCATGTGTATCGACTACCGAGCACTGAACAGGGTTACAGTTAAATCGCGATACCCCATCCCCCGCGCTGACGAACTGATAGATCAACTGCGCACAGCACGAGTCTTTTCGAAAATTGACTTACGAGGAGGTTACCACCAGATTAGGGTCGAACCGTCGGACTGCGCAAAAACAGCTTTTCGGACTAGGTACGGGTCGTTCGAATACACGGTGATGCCTTTCGGGCTGACCAACGCACCGGCGACTTTCCAGATGACGATTAACGAGGCGTTTAGGCCGCTCTTAGATAAATGCGTAATCATCTACCTCGACGACATCCTAGTCTACAGTCGGGATAAGCAGCAGCACTTAGCTGATTTAGAAGCAGTCTTTACCGTCCTAGACCAACACAGACTACTGACAAAGGGTTCCAAGTGCGAGTTTTTTCAGGACAGACTCGAGTTTTTGGGGCACGTTATTTCGGAGGCTGGAGTTGAAATCGACCCGAAAAAGTTGGACACGGTAAAAGCATGGCACCCCCCGACGAACATCACGAAGCTGCAGAGTTTTTTGGGGTTTGTTAATTATGTGCGCCGGTTCGTCCCCGACATGGCACGCTTAACAGCCCCGCTTACGGATTTGCTGAGGAAGGGGGTCGCTTTTACGTGGGGGGAGAAAGAGCATGCTGCCTTCTCCACCCTAAAAAATGTTATCTGTTCACCGCCGGTACTGCGCATCGCCGAACCACATCGCCCATTCGAAGTGGTCACTGATGCAAGCGATATCGCCATCGGAGCCGTACTGCTCCAGGACTTCGGCAACGGGTTACAGCCCATCGCCTACGAATCACGAAAACTGCATCCGCCCGAGAAGAATTATCCGATACACGATCGCGAAATGCTTGCGATCGTGCATGCGTTCAAAGTGTGGCGCTGTTACTTGACCGGCGCCGACGTGACAGTACGGACAGATCACAAGTCACTACAGTACCTCTGCGCACAACCCCATCTCAACCCACGACAAATCCGCTGGCTCGACTACCTCGAGTCGAATTTCCACTACACGGTTACCTACAAAAAAGGGGCTTCGAACATCGCCGATGCATTAACCCGACCCACAGCCCAAGTTCACGCCATACTACTCGCTCAGACCAGCCCACTGTTAACAGGCCTATTTACCCACGGTTACCAAACTGATCCATTTTTTACAGGCGGAAACTCGCAGCAGTTTGCAGCAGCAAGGGGAGTCTATTACGTAAAAGCCGGCACTGATCGCATCTGGGTACCGGGCTACACACTCCTACGGGAATTACTGTTGCAGGAGGCACACGACGGAGTTACCTCCGGGCATTTCGGAGTAGAGAAAATACGGCAGCAGCTGCAACGGTACTACTACTGGCCCGAAATGTTGACCGACGTGCAACGACACGTGACATCGTGTCCCACCTGCCAGGTCATGAAATCATCACGAAAACGGCCGGCAGGACAATTGCAGCCGATACCACCCCCAGAGTGTGCTTGGCAGCAGGTGACGATGGACTTCGTCACGGGGTTACCGGCGGGTGCAAGTGGGAACGACGCGATCCTGGTCGTCGTCGATCGACTGACGAAAATGGCACATTTCGCAGCATGCAAGAAATCAATCACAGCCGAAGAAACGGCCCGCCTCTTCATCACAACCGTTGTTCGATTACACGGGATACCAGCAGCGATAATCAGCGACCGAGATACGAAGTTTACCAGCAATTTCTGGCGGAACCTGTGGCAGCAGTTCGGCACGAGATTGCAGTTCAGTTCTTCATACCACCCCGAAACCGACGGACAGACAGAACGGACAAATCAGACCATGGAACAGTTAATCCGGGCCACGTGCGACGACCCCACCACCTGGGAACAGCAACTTCCACTAATCGAGTTCGCGTACAACAACTCGCCATCCGCCACGACCCAACAGTCGCCATTTTACCTGAACTACGGACAAGACCCTACAGTACCCATGACCCCGAATCCCGACAACCCGGTGCCACGAGCGCAACAGTTCGCAGAAATTTTACAGGAAGCTCGGACCAGGGCAGCAGACGCAATTAAAAAGGCGAACGTTATCGCTAAGCGCAACGCCGACCGACACCGCCGACCAGTCACGTACCAACCCGACGACTTAATACTACTCGACACTCAAAACCTCCGCCTGCCCATAACTCCGAAACTCCGCCCCCGATATTGTGGGCCATTCCGCATCAGCCACATGGTCACACCGGTCACCGCCCACCTCCTCCTCCCCGCTGACTGGTACGTCAGCCCCTCCTTCCACGTCAGCCTGCTTCGCCCCTACATCCCATCCACCAGCCAACTGGCCCGACATCGCCCAACCAGCATGACCCGACCACCGACCGAGCCAGTCATCATGCCCGAAAAGATTCTGAGCCACCGAGTTCGTGACCCACGAGGAGCACGAAAGGTCGAATTTTTAATCCGCTGGAGAGACCGTACACCCACTGAGGACAACTGGGTTCCCTTGGACAAAATCGAAAACCACCCCGTCCTCACCGACTACCTGCGCAGCAGAAATTTCCGGGATATACACGCGCTCTCGTAAAAAGACCTCCTTAAGGGGGGGGGGGGGGGGGGGGGGGGGGGTAGTATAAGGAAAATTCCTATTCCCTAGTTCGCGTCCCTGCTCAGCGCGTACAACACTGACAGCACCCCACAATATCCCGTTACCACTCGCGACATTCGCCTCGACACCATTCCCGCCACTGTTCACGATGCGACCCAACCACACGGCCCGGTTGGTAACCCGCGCTCCGGACCTCCGCCTCGACAGTTCCCCAAACCTCGGCACCAGGCCAGGCCCGTCGCGCACCCCATTTCCCACATTACCGTTACCACCATAGTTTCGCTATATATTCTTCGCTCATTCCTTCGCTCATTGTATCCTGTCTCGATAGTGCAATCCTCGCTCACTCACTCCAATTGCACTCGTAACAGCACCGCACTTCTTTCCCTATCTCCAGAGTTAGCTATGATACTATCTTCAATCATTCCAACATGTTGAGTCAATGGATAAATGGATTTTATGGTTTAGTTTCACAAGAACCCAGTCCTATTACCGTATACACTATCCCCCTCAATACGTAGAAATACAAATCACTCAAGAAGAACACGAGAGCATGCAAACCCCAGGCTTGAGTGCCCACTCAGGAGGGGGCTGGGCAAATTCCTCAGCCCCTGCTTGCTCCTTATAAGGATTCTGCAACACTTCCTGTAACCGCTGTGTAACGCTGAAATCTCCGTGTTCAGCTGCCTCGATCGCCAGCTGGCATTGGTAGTTGCGGAGGATGTAAGCTGGGTTGACTGCATCCATAGCTGCCCGCCGGGCAGCATCTGAAACCTTTTCAGCCCGTAGCTGAAAGCAGGGACAACAAGGGGACGACGAAAATACATTTCACAAGGTGCACAGGAAACGAGGAGCAAAAACTGTATAGAAATGCAGGGCGAGTGACAACTTAGACATAAGTGGGGTGTGTGTGTGAGAGAAAGAGTGCTGAAGGAAAACATCGACCGAGAAATACCGAAAGTAGCAACTGCAAGAGACAGACGGAGTAGCTGACTAAAAAATCAACTCATTACAAGGAGATGAAACACAGACGGAGAGCAGTGCAACACACTATGACAGGCCATTGCACCCACCTTGGCAGTATAAAGCCGGAGCCACTCAACCCATTCCTTCTCTTTCTTCCCCTCCCACTCCTTCCCTTCCCAGTCAATTCAGAACACACCCACTCTCTCTTCCTGTTGCCCCACTCCCTCTCCCTGACAACTCGCATCACACCCATCCCACCCACCTTGGCAGTATAAAGCCGGAGCCAGTCCACCCATTCCTTCTCTTTCTCCCCTTCCTTCCCTGCCCCCTCCTGCAACCCCAGCGCCCCCCTCATTGGCGCCAGCAGGTCAGCGTCTGAAAAGTCTGCAGAGGGGAAGGGGAAGGAGAGGGAGAGGGGGAAGCGGAACAACAGGAACATGGGCGACGGCCCCGAAGGTGTTGATACGACTTTGGTACTCCTAAGAGCCTGTTGTAGTTTTGAGCCGTCTCAAAACTAGGTGTTGATCAGATGTTCGTACTGTCAAAAACCATGGGGAGAGTGGAGCGGAACCTGCAGGTGTCTGCACATCATGTCTGCACATCATGTCTGCACATCATGTCAGCACATCATGTCTGCACATCATGTCTGCACATCATGGCTATTCACAGCACCGTATCAGCGCCATGGTGTGCTGACACCTGCAGTGTCCGCTCTACCCCCAATGCCCCGCACTTCTCAAGGTGACTTTTCAGTCGACTCAAAAGTCACTTTGTCTGCACAACACATCATGGCTAATCACAGCACCGTATCAGCGCCATAGTGTGCAGACACCTGCAGTATCCGCTCTACCCGCAATGCCCCGCACTTACCGCACTACCCCCACTGGCCCCACTGCCCCCAGTACTCCCACTACCCCCACTGCCCCCACGACCACTACTCCCAACAGCAAATCCGCTAGAGGACCCATCCCTTTCAGCGGGCACGCGGGCGAGGGCTCTAAAGGTGTTGAGCTGCAGACCCTGATTCCCCTCACATTTCAGCGGGCACGCGGGCGAGGTCAGAGGCGTGATTTGCTATGAGCTGCAGACGCACACACTACCCGCACTGCCCACACACCCTCACTACCCCCACTACCTATACTCCCAACAGCACTTCCGCTAGAAGACTCACCTCTTTCAGCGGGCACACGGGCAAGAGAGCAGAAGGAGTTGGTGAAGTCAGCGCCATGTTTGGCCATGAGTTGCAGCAGCAAGTGGGTGAGGTCCTAGTCGTACGCTGGCAGAGCCAGCTTGGCCTCAACACAAGTACCCACCTCGTTCAGCAGGAACACGAGCAAGGGCACGGAAGGTGTTGGTGAAGTCAGCGCCATGTTTGGCCATGAGCTGCAGCAGCGACTGAGTCAAGTCCTTTTCGTATGATGGCAGACCCAGCTTTGCTGCCATGCGCTGCTGGTAGGCTGACAGGAATGCCTCCGCGTACCTGGGATGGGAAATGCGGGGGGGGGGGGAGGGGGGAGGGGGGGTTGAAGGGGGACATGGGGACGAGGGCGGAGAGTGAGTCAAGTCCTTTTCGTATGCTGGCAGACCCAGCTTTGCTGCCATACGCTGCTGGTAGGCTGACAGGAATGCCTCCGCGTACTGTGATGGGAGGTGGGGGTCAGGGGGGCAGGGGGGAGGGAGGAGAGCGGAAAGCGGCAAGAGGGATGAGCGGAGCAGCAGCAGCAGCAGCAGCAGAGCAGCAGCAGCAGCAGCAGAGCAGCAGCAGCAGGAATGCAGAGACGTGTTGGTGCTCCGCTCATGGCCATGAGTTGCAGAAGCGACTGGGTGAGGTCCTTGTCGTATGATGGCACACCCAGCTTGGCCGCCATGCGCTGCTGGTAGGCTGAGAGAAAGGACTACGCATACCTGTGATGGGAGATGAGAGGGGGGTGAGCAAATGGGGAATGAAGCAGTCGCTGCCAACTAGCAGCTCCAAGTGATTCTCGATTCTAGTTGAAGACAACAAGGCACGGCCATTCTGCCACCCACCCACCCACACAGCCATCCCCCTCCAAAGTCACCTGGACACCCCGTGCTGAGCCTCGGCCACTCCAGTAATGCCACCTGTCACGGGCGTATTGGCCAGCTGCACCACGTTCCAGAGCCCGATATCAGGCTGCTGCTGGAAGCAGTACCGCCTCCCGGGCATGTCCGACGTGTTGGGGGTGAAATCCGGGTGAAAGGCATCCCAGGCATGTCCGCGGGATTTTGAGGCGCCTCAGAAGTTGCATGACTCAGAGGAATCGAGGGATCCAAAGGGGCCTGGTGGATGGATGGTGCTGACCACTAGGGAATGCCCTACGGCTGAAACATGCCTGAAAATCCCCCAACACACACACACACACACACACACACACACACACACACACACACACACACACACACACACACACACACACACACACACACACACACACACACACCTGGACACCCCGTGCTGCGCCTCGGCCACTCCAATTATGCCACCTGTCACGAGCGTATTGGCCAGCTGCACCACGTTCCACAGCCCAATATCCGGCTGCTGCCGGAAGCAGTATCTCCTCCCGGGCATGTCCGACGTGTTGGGGGTAAAATCCGGGTCAAAGGCATCAAGGAACCCGAAGGGGCCGTAGTCAATGGTGAGACCGAGAATGCTCATGTTGTCCGTGTTGAGCACCCCGTGCGTGAACCCCACCCCCTGCCATGCCGCGACGAGCTCTCCCGTGCTTGCTGCTACCTCAGCAAACCATGCTGGTGATAAATGGGAAGGGGGAGGGGAAGGGGTAGTCAATGGTGAGGCCGAGAATGCTCATGTTGTCCGTGTCGAGCACGCCGTGCGTGAACCCCACTGCTTGCCATGCTGCTACTAGCTCTCCCGTGCTCTTTGCTACTTGAGCGAACCACGCTGGTGACACGGGGGAAGGACATGGGAAGGGGGAGGACAGGGAGATGGCGAGGCCGAGAATGCTCATGTTGTCCGTGTTGAGCACGCCGTGCGTGAACCCCACCCCCTGCCACGCTGCAACGAGCTCGCCTGCGCTCCTTGGTGCTTCAGCAAACCAGGCTGGAGAGCAGGGCGGGGCAGGGGAAGGGGAGGGGGAAAGGGAGGGGGAGGGGGAAGGGGAAAAAAGGATGTGTTGGGGGTGAAATCCGGGTTGAAGGAGTCGAGGAATTCGAAGGGCCCGTAGTCGATGGTGAGGCCGAGGATGCTCATGTTGTTTGTGTTGAGCACGCTGTGTGTGAACCCCACTGCTTGCCACCCCGCCACCAATTTGCCTGTGCTTGCTGCTACTTCAGCAAAGCATGCTGGAGAGGGCAGGCGGGAGGAAGGGGGCAGGGGGGAGGGAGGGGAAAAGGAGGGGGTGCTGGGGGTGAAATCGGGGTCGAAGGAGTCGAGAAATCCGAAGGGCCCGTAGTTGATTGTGGGACCAAGCACACACACACATGCTGTTCACAAGTGAACGGAAGCGCAAGCGAAAGGAAGCGCAAGTGAAAGGGAGCGCAGGTGAACAGAAGCACAAGTGAACAGAAGCGCAAGTGAACGGAAGCGCCAACCACATACCTGCATACTTGTTTGTCGTCACATCCACAGCATCGGGATCCCCAACCTCCTCGTCCTCCTCCGAGCCTGGCTCCCGGACCTGCACTGGAGGCTCGGGGAGGTCGGCCAGGTGCGGGAAGTGGTGCAGAATGGTGTAGTCCGCCAGCACCCGAACCATCTCCTTGTCCAAACCTCCCCGGGAGGCATGGAGCTGGAACGAGCCGAACCTGTTGGGAACAGAATGAGAAATAGATGGGCGCGAGAACATCACATGAAAAACGTGCTTCAAATAATGAGAAATTTCACCAACCTCTTTTTTTCCAATAACAGCCCTGATGCTCTAACACAACCGTCAAGTACACAGTCTGGTATACGCGTATCTTAAGCAAACAAAAAGCAACCTCGTGCAAAAACGGCACCTTGTGTGAATGCGGCTTGAATGGATACGAGGACTGACCTGATGAAGGAAGGCGCCACGCGGCACACAGCAGCTCCTGGCTCGAACTTGGCGTTGCCACTGGGTTGGATGGGGTGATGGGGTAATGGGGTGATGGGAGGGGATGGGGGGAAGGGGATGCAGGAAACGGATGAGGATATGGGGCCGGCCTGATGAAGGAGGGTGCCACGCTGCACACAGCAGCTCCTGGCTCGAACTTGGCGTTGCCACTGGCGTTCAGAGGGGGATGGGAGAACGGGGGGGCGGGGGAATTGGGGGATGGGGGAACGGGGGGGGCGGGGGGGCGGGGGAATTGGGGGATGGGGGAACGGGGAGGCGGGGGAATTGGGGGATGGGGGAACGGGGAGGCGGGGGAATTGGGGGATGGGGGAATGGGGGGATGGGGATGCGACAATGAGAATGGAGAGGCCTGATGGGGAATGGGGTGCCAAGTGGCACACAGCAGCTCCTGGTTCAAACTTGGTGATGTAACTGATGGGGATGGAGGGATGGGAATGGAAATCGGGTGACTCCGAAGTCAACACAGACGATCACACTCACTTGTCAAGAAGTCGTGTTTTGAGTCGACTCAAAACGCAACACAGATGATCACACTCACTTGTCAAGCATAGGTGACACTGAAATAAACACACACAGTCACAGCCACACTCACTTGTAGAACATGTCTCGCAGCACCTTCTCCCCAGTGGTGACAACAGAGAGCGCCCTCGTTGTAGGCACACCCAGGGCGGCCATGGCCTCGCTACAGAGGTACTCTCTAATGGAACTGCGCAGCACAGCGCGCCCATCCGCGTGCCTACTGTACGGCGTCTTCCCCACCCCCTTCAGCTGCAACTCCCACCGCTCCCTCCACCCCTTCCCCTGCGCGCCCTCCCCCTGCACGCCTTCCCGCCCCAGCACCACTTCCCCCAGTGTGATGGCGCGCCCATCCCCCAGCTGCCCCGCCCATGACCCAAACTGGTGCCCCCCGTAGCACTGCGCGTAGGGCTTGCTGCAAGGCGTGAGGGGAAGAAACAGGGGAAGAACGGGAGCGGGCAGGGGGAGTGCGCGGTAAAGGAGGGGCAAAGGGCAGTGGAGAGGGGAGGCGGGGATGTGGGGGGGCCCTCGTAGCACTGCGCGTGAGGCTTGCAGAAGGATGTGAGGAGAGATGAGGAGAGACGGAGGGGTGTTTGTGAGAGATGAGGAGAGATGAGGAGAGACGGAGGGGTGTTTGTGAGAGATGAGGAGAGATGAGGAGAGATGAGGAGAGACGGAGGGGTGTTTGTGAGAGATGAGGAGAGATGAGGAGAGATGAGGAGAGATGAGGAGAGACGGAGGGGTGTTTGTGAGAGATGAGGCGCGTTTCTACTCCACACTCCTCAGCCCTAGAATAATTCCGGAATTGGCCTCAGCCCTAGAATAATTCCGGAATTGGCCTCAGCCCTAGAATAATTCCGGAATTGGCCTCAGCCCTAGAATAATTCCGGAATTGGCCTCAGCCCTAGAATAATTCCGGAATTGGCCTCAGCCCTAGAATAATTCCGGAATTGGCCTCAGCCCTAGAATAATTCCGGAATTGGCCTCAGCCCTAGAATAATTCCGGAATTGGCCTCAGCCCTAGAATAATTCCGGAATTGGCCTCAGCCCTAGAGGACCGGTTTCAGCACGCACCAGGCCTGAAGCACTTGACAAACTGGATGAAAGAGAAGGTTCCTATACTCTGACCACTCACCAGCCCTGAAGCACAATGCCCCCCGTGAAGACCGCCGCAAACTCAGGACGCGTGAACCTGTGGCGGGGGAAAGCGGAATGGAAGGAGATATAAAATATAAGTGCCAGCACAATATGAAAGGTTGCCTATTTCTTTAGGGCTAGGAATTTCATAGCCAGTGGACTCCAAGGCTAGAACTATTCAGGCAATTTCACAGACGAGCTCACTCGTTCGGGTCGAGACCAATAAAGTGAGCCACCAACTCCGACGCGGTAACACGGCTGAATTCACGTTGAGCAAAAGCAGAAAGCTAATTCGCGAAAGGAGAACTTATAAATCAACTCACTCATTCGGATCGAGGCCAATGAGGTGAGCCACAGACTCCGAAGCGGCGACGATCTGCGGGTCCTTGAGCTTTAGCGAAGGTCGCACTCGCGAGTAGCACGCGTTGCGAACCTGTGGTGCGCGAAGGAGGGACAGAGCAACGCCATGCATGTAATTACACACGTGCAGCGAAAGACCGTGATGAAGGTTCAGTTTTAGGTATCAAATAAACAAATTTCAGTCGATAGAAATACCCAATTACAAACGAAACAAGCCGCCAAGAAGAAAGGAAGAAAAAGAAAAGGAAGAAGAAGAAGAAAAGAAGTGCCTAACTACTACTAGCACAAAGAATCTCCCTGCATTTAGTACGTACTATTCGAACGTGGTTTTCTTCGACTGGATCCCCAGGAAGCTTGTCAACAAACGTGCTCTCCCACTCAAGTTCCTCCAATCGCCGCACTCCCACGTTTCCTCTCCCCGCCGCGGCTGCTACCCCGGTTTTCGCGCCGGAAATTGCGGCGCCAGCTGGAACCTCCTTCACTTGCGAGGAAGCTGCGGTGCCGCCATCTCCTGCAGCCGCCGCCGACGCGACAGTGATTGGCCTCGCGGGTTGTTGCTTATCGGCCGAGTGGCCGCCAATTCCACCGTCGATCCCGGCGACCATTGCGGCGGGATGGGGAAATAGGCTGGATCGGTAAAGTCGGGTTCTAGCAACGCGTGTGGAGATCAATCCCGAGGGAATCAGGCGATCGCTAAGCGAACCAAGAGACTGTCTGGGCGAAAGCGTAGGCGACACACGTGCGACGGCGGAGAGCTTGGATAGGGAGGAGGCCCCAGTGAAAAGGGCTCCCATGCCGGCTATCTACGCGACGTCTGACTTTCTGCAAAGCGCGCTAGGAACTGAGACGAATTCTACTCTCAGAAAGGAGAGGATTCTAGTCGCAAACCAACACAGCACGCTTGCGTGCGTCGCCCGTTACACGCTTCGATCCGCGAAAGCTAACAGGTGGAAGAAAAGGCAGAGGAGAACAGGGAAGTGGAAAAACTGTGTTGTAACATAGTGAAGAGATTAGTAGAATTTGCTCCTTGTGGAAATTTTGGAGCAGGGGGGAGGCGAGGTGTTAGTGGAGTGGAGTGGAGGATAGGTGCATGGGGGGAGTGGTGACGGAGGGATAATGACGATGGGTTGATGATGGATCGAGTCGCCATGGTGTCCCTTGGGAGCTTCGCCATTGCTGGGAGTTTCTTGGGTAATCACCTTGCGTAAAATGGAATTTTCGGTGGTCGAGTAAGATGTTTCAAAATAGCCAAGCAATTCTCACTCGTCTGAATTCTCCAATTGTTTTCACCCAAATTATAAAATTTTGTTGGCATTCAAGGCATGTTAAAGTGTACAGAAACAAGGATGTTGTTTGTTGAACAGCAGACCGTGGTTCAGAAGCATTGTTGGACAAATCTTCCTGCAGGTCAGGAAATGGAATGGCTGAGAGACACGTGGCCCAGAACCAGAATTCAGGAATGTGGACACCGCTTTTACTGTACCAGTGAACATGCAGCAGAACCCGTTTTCAAAAAGTTTTGCAGTACAGTTCAATATTCGACAACCCTCAAAACGAGGTATACATAGCGGGTACAAAGCAAGTCCCCACCCTGACTGCAACAAGTTCCCAAGGAGACTAAAATTCTCTATCATTTTTAGCGCGCGTTTCCATCCCAGCAGCAGCCGTAGTTCACGGCTTTAGACTGTAGCTAATTAGAACCCCTGCCGCCACCATGGGTCCTTGCACAGGTATTCCCGTTGCTTGTCATGCCTGATGTTTGCGACTTCTTAACTAAAAGCTGTGATCAAACTTCGATATGAAATTGTTTGCAAACCGAGACTGGACCTTCTCAGTCCGTACCTGCCTCTGATCCGCTTCTCTCATCAACCCATTGTCACCTGTCGTCTCACGCATTGCATTTCTTTCTCCCTCCTCCGCCTGCTCTCTTCGTTTCGTGTGCTCTTGTTGTGTTTTTCCAATCCCCACCCACTTGCAAGCAGCAGCAATGATGTCACTTTCACCCGCTTCAGCCGCATTAGCAGCGCCGATGACGTCGACTGCGTCTTCAGCAGCCGCTAGATCATGCATGTTCGTTCGAAGCCTGTCAGAAACGGTGCACCGGAGAGCATTATTGACACCATTACCATCATTCCGTGCAAAGCTGCCTGTAACAGCATGTGTTCCACGGATAGTAATCGTTTCTGCTGAAGTTTCAAGATCTCGGGCTTCTCGGGTACGGTCACTCTTCTGCTCTGCCATGCTCCCTTCTTCCTGCATCTCCACTCCCCCTGCTTCTCCCTTCTTCCTGCATCTCCACTCCCCCTGCTTCTCCCTTCTTCCTGCATCTCCACTCCCCCTGCTTCTCCCTTCTTCCTGCATCTCCACTCCCCCTGCTTCTCCCTTCTTCCTGCATCTCCACTCCCCCTGCTTCTCCCTTCTTCCTGCATCTCCACCCCCCCTGCTTCTCCCTTCTTTTTGCATCTCCACTCCCCCTGTTTCTCCCTTCTTCCCGCATTCTCTTTTCCGCTGCTTACCCCTCCTCATATTTCCCTTCCTCTTCCTCCATTACCTTCATTTTTCACTAAGAACCTTCCTGCCCTCTGTCTCCCCCTCTCTTGATTGCTCTCTCTCTTTCTCGGTCTCCTAAGATGTCAAACTTAACGTAGTCCCCTAAGTTGTCCTCCTTTTAGAGTTTCCAGGCAGTTTCCTGCATGTGTACCATGTTCTGGTGTTTCGATCCATATGCTCCTTTGCACCTTCTCCCAGTTGATTGTTCGAAACCAACTTCCATTTACCCGTGCCCTTCCCTCCACGTGGTCCCCCTTGTCCCCCTGGTCCCTCCCCCTGGTCCCCCTGGTCCTTCCCCATGGTCCCCCCCCTGGCCCCTCCCCCTGGTCCCTCCCCCTGCCCCCCCTGGTCATTCCCCCTGGTCCCCTGGTCCCTCCCCCTGGTCCCCCTGGTCCCCATCTGCCAGCTAAATGCAGGTCGCTCAGTACACTACGAAACAGCCAACACTTACGTTTTTATAGCTCCTGGCGAAGAGGAAGTGTTTTTATCACGCGAGGAAGTGCTACAGTGCCTTTTGAGTGAGCTTCAAAGCTGGGAAAAGGACGGGAAACGCCTGTCGGACGACTTGGCAGTTTTTGAGACTCTGGAGGAAGCAGCAGAGTTTTTGCTCGACTCGGCTTGTGAATTGGAGTTGGGTGGTGGGAAAGGTGCTTTCCAGTGGTTCGAAGTAAGGCTGGAGACCAATTGGTCTGCTGAATGAACGCTCAATTGGCTCGACCTTCTTGAGCGCAAGTTTGCAAGGCGTTTGAATTTGCTTGTTTTTCCAATATTATGTGCATTATGCCAAGCTTGTGTTCCTTCATCACTCCTAACAGAAGTCGCTATGAATTTGAGAGTATTGCAGTAGATTCGGTTTGTACCGAGGATAGCTTTCTCCTTTTGATATCATAGACAGCACGATTTTTCAAGAACTAGGATACGATAGAAGCAGCTTTATTCGTTCAGGTATTAGCATATCCCGCGGGGTCGCCTGATGGCTCTTCGCGATAAGAGAAGAGGTGGTGACAGGGACGCGATTGCGTCGCTGCTGAGCGGTCTCTCATGCGACGCTCGCGAGTTCTCCTTCGGTGCGACTAGCGACAGCGACAGCGATGACGACTCTGGCGACATTGTCGCCTCCAGCCGCGAGTGTCGCGCGACCGCCGTTCCCAGAATCGCTATTTCGCACGCAGCTGCGCGATCTTATGCTAAAACCGAAGCGAGTGTTAACGCGTACAGAGCAGGCTTCAATCCTACTAGTGGTTCTAGCGATCCCCCCATAGTTCTCTCCCCCCTCGAATTCTACCGCGACTATGTAGCGGCTAACCGGCCGTGCGTGATTACCGGCGCCGTCAGCCATTGGCCGGCATTGTCCCTCTGGCGAACCGACCAATACTTAATTGACGCGTTAGGGGATAAAAAAATCACTGTGGATTTCACTCCTGACGGCCACGGCGACGCGATTGTTTGGCGCGACGGCGTCGGACGGTCAGAAGCAGGATCGGCAGAACGAAGAGACGAGAATCTGGGTTCAGGGTGTAACACGAGGGAAGACGGGGGAACGAGTAGCGGATGTGAGTGTAGGAGCGGTGACGGTAGCGAGGCACGGGGTGGTGAGGTCAGGGAGGATATGGGTGTTCGAAGGTGGGTGTTTTTCCCTGGGGAGGAAGGGTGGGAGAGCAAGGACGGGTGGGATAATAGGGAGGGCTGCATTAATAGTAATGGAAGTGGACGCGACGAAGAGGCAGAGGGGGCGGAAGCGGAAGGAGAAACTGAAAGGGTGGGGGAGGAGGTGAAAGCAGGGAGGTTTTCTGAGAGTAACGGCAGCTGTGGCAGTGTGTGTAGTGGTGGTGGTGGCGGCTGCAGTTGTGACAGCATTCCTCGGGCTTGCCGCTGTGACTCGCCCTGTGCGTGGTTTGTCACCCCACACGAAGCTTCCCTCACCCTCCCTACCTTCCTCCGCCTCCTCTACTCCTCGCGTTCTTCCCCCTCACACTCCCCCTCACACTCTCCCTCACTCGTGGCATCACACCCCTCAAACTCTCCCTTCATCGGCATTCCCTATGTTCAGCATCAGAACGGCAGCTTCAGGACAGAATTTGCTGCCCTGGCTGCAGATGCAGACGAGCATATCGGATTCGCCACAGCTGCGCTGGGCGGCAACCTGCCCGAAGCTGTGAATCTGTGGATTGGGGACGACCGGGCAGTGACAAGCTGGCACAAGGACCACTACGAAAACTTTTACGTGGTTGTCACGGGCAGGAAAACTTTCCGGCTGCTGCCCCCGCTCGACGTGTTCCGGATGAGAGTGCGGGAATACCCTGCTGCAAAATACTGGCGGGCAGAGGTAAAATCATGCCTGCCCTCCTCTGCCCCCTTACCTTTTCTTCTGTAACTCGTCTTGCTCGCTTGCTCGCCTTCTCCTACTCCTAGCTTTGATACCAACTCATGTGCCCGCTCTTTTCTCTGCTCTTCTCTTGATGCTCCACAATCGCCACATCTCGCTTTATCCAACAGACTGTATCGGAGGCCCCCTTTGATGCACTTACTGGCATGCCACGGTTTCCTGTTCATGCCATCTCATTTCACTGTCCCCCATTCTCCCCATGCACACATGTTACTTGTCCCCCTGTCGGCCCCTGCCAGGACGAGCAGGGTGCGTTTCACATCCTTCCCAGCGAGCCCCCATGCATGGTGCCATGGGCCTCTGTGGATGCCGCACTGAACCCCCTCATACCGTGCCCACACACCCTGAGTGCTGCTGCTGCTGCTGCTGCTGTCGCTGGAGAAGGCTTGGGGGGAGACCTCAAGGGGCCCCCTCCGCTGGTCTGCACCATTGGTCCTGGAGAGATGCTGTACCTGTACGTGATGACTGTAAGGAGGGTGTGTGAGGGAGCTGTATGCGTGGGGCTTGTGTGTGATGAGAGTGAGTGAGGAGAGGCTTGTATGGGGAGTGAGGGAGGAGGGGAGACAGAGACGTGTTGTGAGAAGCATGTTTGGGATATGGGAAGATGTGCAACGGATGGAGATCCAGAAACACAGATGTAACTGGGATGGGATACATTGTGTAACTCAGTGTGTTCTGCTTCTTATTATGCCATTTCCTGGTATACATTTACAGTATGCATTATCACGATTTGTATATTCTTATGGTTGCAGGCCAAGCATGTGGTATCACCATGTCTCGCAGATCCCTGGGGAAACCGGTCGAACGATAGCTCTCAATTACTGTAAGTCCTCTGCGTGTCACTTCATGTATGCACCCCCATCTTCACTTGCAAATCGTTTTCTGCACGTCTTACATTGTCGACGTTTTGCTGATGTGTGTGTTTTCTTGTTGTTTTTCATCTTCACAGGGTATGACATGCAATTTGATGTCAAGTATGCGTATTTTAACCTCATCCAGTCACTAACTCGTGTGTACAGATTGTAAGAGGGTTGCTCAACCAGCAACTCTAAACAGTGAACCATCTATTTGTTTTGTTTGTACTATTTTGTTCTCCAGCGTTTCCTATTGACCTGTTAGCGGGAAATGGCATTTGCTATAAAAAAAAAAATCCGGCAGGTGGATTGCCCACCACATAAGCCATGCCGGTGCTAGTCTCTGATTTGTGCGCAGAGATTTCGCCTCGTGTGGCTCGTAACAGCTGTAATCTGATTGGAGTTGAAACATCCATTCCATCACCAAACTGACGCATCTTGCCCTGCCACGTCAGTTTATACCCACGCTCAAACAGAATCTCGCGGGACTGCCTTTCATTCGTTACAAGGTAGGAAAGGGAAGATTTTCTCTCCTATCCACTAAAAACTGTTCATTGATGGCACGGGAAGGGTTTGCCAAGAGTTTTGGCAGAAAGGACAAGCAATTTCAGCCAGCTTTTTCTCCTGAAAACTTTCTTGCAAGCTGTTTCCTTCAAGCATGGGCACTGCATGCCCACATTCCGTTCATAGGCAAATTTTTACCCAGGTTGTTATGATGACAAGCCTGACCTTTTGGTAGGTGGTTTGCCAAATGCCACAGGCTTGACAACCCGGCATCCACAAGTCTTCCAGATGACATGCAACAGATGAGGGTTCCATGTCAAGCAATTCACAAAAGTTCGATGCGTACTGTACGTACGCACAGAATTTACGTATCATCCAGCAGGCTTCTGCATGTCAAACAGCAGGTGACACGTCACATGAGAGTGGGCACGGAAATCTGGTCACCATTGACTCGTCCCTCACAGAAGCACGACTGCGATTCCCGCTTCAACTCGGGTCGAACAGTTGCAACGCTCGCCGAACAGTGTCAAGCGGGAGAGAGCTGCCTCGGAGAATTTTGCTCAATTCCGCGGAAGCACGGTTCGTTTTATTTTCGCTACGTGGCAAGCCTTCGATCGCGCGAACCGCGATCTGTTTTATTGTTCCCACAAAGTTCAAGAGAAACTTAGTTAAGTTATGTACCGCGCTGCCCGCGGTCAAAAATAAAACCCATTCGGGCATGGCATGCGTTAGAGAGGCATCAACCCTAAACACCTTGCGTCTATGTGTTTAGGGTTGATGCATCCCTAACGCATGTTTTTCCTTTAGGGGTTTTATTTTTGTCCGCGGGCAGGGCAGTACATGTGACTCACTAAGCCTAACTATATTTTCTTTTAAAAATTGTGGGAACAATAAATCAGATCGCGGTTCCCACGATCGAAGGCATGCCACGTGGCGAAAATAAAACGAACCGCGATTCCGCGAAATTGAGCAAAACTCTCGCTGCCTCGCCAACAATTGCGAAATTTCGCCCTTCCGCATTCACCGCGTCCGTTTGTTTCACGTCCCGTGCAGAGAACTCGGTAAAATTGTCACGTGTGATGCGGCCCGAGATTCCGAGGCGAACGCCTGCCATACCTGAAACTGAAACCTTGAAATCCGAACCGTGCCACAGTGCCCTGCGCCACACCATTGACGGTGCGCCGAGCCATGGGACAAGCGTTACCACCTGCAAGCATGGCCATGCAAAGTCACGAGAAGGAGAAAGTAAGGCTTCCCCCACCTCTTTCCGTTCGGGAATTGGACGGAATCGGGACAGCTTGGGCAGGACCGATGACGAGGGCTTGATTGACAGAGGGTCTGCTCTCCGCAGCGCCGCACCGTTCTGCTCCTTTCCGCAGTCAGCAGCACCACATGCATCTCCGCTATCCCCGCACGGACCATCCCCTCCGCTTCCGTCGATATTCCCCTGATACATCCCACCGTCTCCGCATCTTCTCGGCTTTTCCAGTCTCCCAAGAAGCCCACGCTTCCCCCGACATCTGCTCCGCGCAGCTTCGTCTCCGCCCGCCTTTCCGCGTTGAAACCCCAACGGAGTTCCCAGCAGGTCAGGCCAGCAGCATCCTAGGATTCAGCTAAGCAGCACCGTCAGGCAGCTTGCTCCTACCCCACCCATCCTTGCCTCTTGCTTGTGAGCTGAGCAACCAGGCATAAAGCACGAGCTTGCTGTCATTCTGTACATCATCCAGAAAATCCGTTTCACCAAAACAGTTTTAGTTAGGGAGTTCAGTAGTTTCAACACCGAAGTTTGTGTTGGTTGTAAGTCGTAAGAAGGCTGTTCTTGTAAAGTTTTCTCCTCATTTTCACCTTAAGATAGTTGACATGGCTCCATCGACGAAGTCTGCGATTTTCTGCTCTGACGAGGACATCATGGTTGATATGGTGATTGCTGCTAGCCAGAAGAAGGGGACAGTCGCTCTTCCGTCGTTCGGACGTGAACTTGTGCCATACTTCGTTCCAGGCTTCACTAACTTTACTGAGGATGCTGTTAACATCAATACGGACGTGGATGCTATTAGGAGGTGAGGATTGTCCCGTGTTTCACGGGTATCGATCCACTTTGTTTGATGGTCGCTAGAGCGGTCACTAAGTGTTTTCTTTCCTCTTTGGGTAACAGGAATGGAGCAAGTGTTCTTGAGATTCCCCAACCTGCCACGGTAGCTGGCGGCATGCGGAAAGGTCGTGGCAACACACGGAGATCCCCCAAGAAGAATAGGTCGCGACATGGATCTCCTAACAACGATTCGCAAGCTCGTTACACAAATAATGGTGCTTCGGCATCCGGCGTGGCGGTTAATTTCTCAACAACCAGCTACACCGCTCCCGCAGCTGCAGCACCCCTTCCCACCCGCGATGTAATTACTCCGCCACCTACCTCGGAAGCGTGGGCTGGTCCTGCATACGTGAACTCACCTCCTCCTAGCTCTCTCCCTCTTCCCAGCTTCCTTAAGGCTCAGCTTAAGCCGAGCCCTACGAATGTACGCGTCTCATCATCGGAACCCTCTTCTCCTCTCAAGCAGTCAGCACCTGTTACGACTGATTTCGCTCAAGATTACGCTCCCGTGCCGTGTGCCACTGAGCACATGATGGCTTACCCGATGAATACGTTGGTGATTGAAGGCAACCTGAAGAGGCTTCTTCAGGTCGCTTAGAAGCAGTGTCCAAGATTGCATGGTGACGTGGTGAAAGGATGTGTGGATGAAGGATTCCTGACCTCCGTATTTAAATTGGAGTCAGGAACGGCAAGAGCATCTGCGGAAGTCTTTTCCTGCTAGCCTGGTCCTTTCCCTTGCAGCTCTGGTGTCTCCATAATCTCTACCCCTTCACCCCTTCCTCTTGCACTCAATAGTAGCACTCCTCCTCATGTCCGTCCGTTGAGCACTCTTGTTCGTGCTCGTGTTCGTCTTTCAGTGCGTGTCGTTCGCCGTCTCGCCTGCACATACACATCCCGCTCTTATCTCTCAAGTCTACCTTTCACATGTCCTTTCGCACTTGGGGTAACTAAGCCATGCAATGGTCGGAGCAGCCTACCCCTGATAAGGCTGAAGATGTATCTTCGAAGCTGGTTGGCAATGGATGGAGCAGCATAATCCTCATTAGTTGGACGAAGTATCTTCGAAGCTGTTGGTTTCTTTTCGGATTTGCGCTACCTTTGGTCTGCTTGCGCCTGAAGACTTCAGTGCGCCCGCCTGTAACGCATTCGCTTGTCCTGCAAGCGTTGCGCACCTACGCTCTTTCGCACGTCAACGCTCTTCCTGCTCTGGGTACAGAGCAGCATCTTGGTCCGCTTGTATCGCAGACCGCGGCCAGGGAGTGAGCATGGATTTGTGAACCTCAACATTGGGAGTTGTGCAGTTGTCGTTCTGATGAAGTTCGTTCATCCATGGTTCTTGTTTGGCTAGATGTTATGAGCTGTACGGAGCTTTCATATTTGACGATATTACTTGGTGATATGGTGTTCATGCTTCATGGCAGGGTTGGTTGTACTGATCTATTTTGTCCAGAATTGTATGCTCGCCCTCACTAGCAGTTGGGCATCAGCATGCAACCTGAAGATGTAAGGTAGTGTAAGGAAAATTCCTTTTCCTTTCTTCGCGTCCCCGCTCAGCGCATACACCACTGTAGCACCACAGTCAGCACCGTTACCACTGGCAACCCTCGCATCGACAATCCTCCTGCCACCTTCGCACATCGCACCCCGACCTCACAGCTCGGCGGGTAACCCGCGCTCCGGGCCTCCGCTTCGACATACCGTATGGCCCCGGATATAGGCGCCGTCCGATTAAAGGCGCCGGCGCCTCTATCTGGAGCATGGCGCTTATGGCCGTTCCTCGATTATAAGCGCCCCCCCTAGAAAACCTTTACTTGTTATAAGCGCACGTGCAATTTTAATATAGATTTTTTCTTAAAACAGTAACGAAATTAATTTTTGCAGCGAGTCAGATTTCAATTTCGCTTCGTTTGACTCGCGAAGACCTGACTGGCTGTACGTCTAGTCAGGATCTGATGGCATGACGTGGCTTTGCCTGTGTGTGCATCCAGAGTATCGCTTGCGAGAGATTTTGTTTTGTGACGCTAAAGCATTTCGACTCGGTTGAAATGGCAAGAAGAAAATGAACAATTTGGTGCTCTAAATATATAATTTCGTATTTGTCATTATATAAGCGCCGGCGCTTATGGCCGTTACTCAATTACAAGCGCCCCCCCTAAAAGAAATGAATTTATTATAAGCGCATATGCGCCTATATCCGGGGTAATACGGTATTGAGAAAGCTTGCTTTCTGTTCTTGCAAAGGCATCGTGCTTACAATTGCAGTAATTACAACATTCTCGTCCATCTATAGATTATACGGTACAAGTTTCGTATACAACTAGGGTGGGTGGGTGGGGAGTGGAACTGCAAGTTCCAAATGAAGACGTGGGTGGA